TAGGGAAACAATGATGTATTTCTTCTAGGATTGTGCATAATTTTTCCTTTTCACTGTAATTTTAAACACTATGTCTTATACTGTTGTTTATGACTTTTATTGGAAAATGTTGAATGCTGTATTTCTTACTTAGTTTTGCTTATGACCTCTTCTTTTTTCTTTGGGAGAAATGTTGAAAGCTGTACTTTCCTTCTTTGCATTTTTTAATGAAGGGGGAGGCAGCTTCCAATGTTGTTAGGCTGCTGCTGAACTGAGTGGATCTACCTGTCTTTGTTTTACCAGATTTTTTTTTAGGTAATCCGTAATCTTTAGAAATAAGCATTTCATTTTAATTAAAAAAAAAAAATCATTTTTTTTTAAAGCAGCTGTTGAGTGTGTAGGTACTTGTTAATTAACAGCAAACTTCACATTTGTTTTAGTAATCTAATTTAAAACTTGAAATAAAAACTTTTCAGATTTGTTTTGGATTTAATTTATAACGTAGGTATGAGATGATGGAGACAGTGGGGGAGAAATAAGACCTTTTGTTGAATAATACCCAAAGTATACCTACTGACCATTCAATCTGTGGTTTGAATGTTCAGTTAGGTGATCTGATCATGTTATGACTACAGTAACAAATAAAATCAGTCATTTTTTCAAAACTTTGAAATGCTGGTGAAATATTTCTTGCTTCATAAATCAGTATACTGACTTGATTTCTTGCTGTTTTACTACTGTCTGTGAAGCCATCAGTTTGTGATATTTTCCAGGACTTACTATAGAATAAGTAGTGCAAAATCTTTATGATGCCTAAACAGTAGCATTTAGGATTACAAATCCAAAATTTAACATCCAGGACACTGTTAGGATTACAGGCTCCTAGTAATAAGTTTTTGTTATATTTTTACTGAACTAACTATAGTTGGCAGAGATGTTAGACAAACTTCTGGGCACAAAGTATGCTTCAGGTGTGACCATAACACTCCAATCCTACTACAGTCTCCCAGAGAATGTTTTTCCAAGCATTTAGCATTTTGTGCTGGTTTCATACAGATTTGTGAAAAGATGAAGATTACTGCTTGTGCTCAGCTCCCTCCCCCATTCTTTTTCTCTCTAGAGTTTTTTTTCTTCCAGGTGGAAGGATGAATGCTTGCCACTGCTGGTGCATATGTATATGCATCTGAAGGCCAGGTGGATATAGTTTATGATCACTCTAATTCTGCAGTGATTTGTTCTTCTGCTTATCTTCCTTCCTCTGAGTAGTCTGACTGGCTGAAATAGAACTAAATAGTGTAAATCTTTGCAGGATCCATGCCTTGGTCTCTAGGATGAGCAAAGCATTTATTTGCTTTTCAAGTTTTCTGGCTAAGATGCTTTAAAACTTGTGTGGCTTATTTGGTTAAAATAAATCGGGTGGTGTAATGGACCTTCAATCTCTGACTGCTAAGAAGTCAGTGGAGATATTTCACCTGTCAAAGCTCTAACCCATCTGTTCCACTTTTTGCAGGAACAGTTCTTGCAGGAACGAATCAAAGTGAATGGAAAAGCTGGGAATCTTGGTGGAGGTGCAGTGACCATTGAGAGAAGTAAGAGTAAAATCACTGTAACTTCAGAGGTTCCATTTTCAAAGAGGTAAGGCGAAAGGGCATGTGGGAACTTAATGATCTGCAAAAAAAAAAAAAGAACAGGGTTCATATACTTTAGGCTCTAAATGATGCATGGAGAGGGTCTGAAAGGTGTGAGTGGTCGCTTCTACTTGCTTTTTACTTCTGAAATTCAGGTCGGGTCTACTGTGGAAGGTGGCTGTAAACTGGAGCATTTGAAATGTTGATTGTACAAATCCAAACGGAAACTTCAGCAGTTGAAGGGGAAAAAGTGAATAACCTTTTGGTGAAAGGAAGATGTTGTTCAGGGCTCACCTTTTGGTCAGTGGATGCTTCCTGCATTGAGGGAGTTATTTGATAGGGTTTCCAAAATGCCCAAGGAAGATGGGAACTGAAGAATGAAGGCTTGTATCCAGTTTGTAATAATTTCTTGGAAACAGGTGACTTAGTGACCTCTTTCTGTGTGTCAGTGGCATCCTCTCTAAGTTACCAGTTGTTGGGAAGCTGGATTTGGTGGATTTTACACTGTTTTCATATTGGTCACTTTATACTATCTCACTGCTCTGTGCATACATGTTTTTAAACATCCTTGTGCTTTGGTATTGAATTTTTATGTTGGTTCTTCCAGGGGTTAGTAGTCTGTAACTGGACACACATAATTGTGTCCAGTTACACAACAAACAAGTTGTGTTTTTGTTTTTTAAAGGACTCAGATCTGAAAAGCTTCAGCAAGTTTACCTCCGTGTAAATGTTAATTTTGTCCTAAACATTTTTCATGTAGCCAGTACTAGCATAGATGCTAATAGCATATAAAACTGTGTCTTCAAAACTGCATGATTAAGTATTCAGATGACCAGTTTACACTGAGTGTGATTTGTATTAGTATTATTATTACTAAGAGACAATGTAGGTATGCTGAAATGTAAAGGGCAGCCTGGTTGGGTGGGCAGGGAGGCGTTCTCTCAATAGGAAGATTAAGCTCTTAAGAGAATTTTGTACATCAGAATGAATATCAAGTACACCAGCAATAATTATTCTTAATCAATATGGTAAAACAATATTTAAGAGGCTTAAGGAAGCACTTTTGGGGGGGGTGGGGGCAGGACATGTCATATGTAAATATACAATTTAACAATAGGTTATAGTTTATACTTTGCAGGAACAGACTTTCTCCAATGCATTTTTTATACATTAGTCTGAGGCATTGAAAAGACAACGTTGTTCCTTCCTATATCATTGATCTCTCTCTTCACATTCCCTTTGACTCTTGCCAGCAGTGCTGTCTATATGCTTTTTACTGTGTTGGTTCCTTATTGTTGGAACCCCCTCTCATCTGGTGTGCTCAAGGCTTGTTTCTCTAAAACCATTTGTAAGGCACAGGAGCATTTATATTTAAATGTTACTGTGAAAGTCAAGCTCTAAGTGTGTGGCAATGGTGGTTTTTTGTGTTTGTTTGTTTGTTTTAACTAAGCTGATGCGTTTCCATGTGTATTGCTTGTATGTCCCTGTCCTTTTGACTTGAAAGCTGTAAACCCCTCGAGAGATCATGTATTTCTCAACACAGCACCTCATGTATTCTGATCATTATTGCATTCGCTTACTAAAGAATTGGAAAAAATGTCAGTTGGTTGGTGACTGAGTTTTATAATGTCTGATGAAGCCATGTACCTTTATTTGGTACCAGACAAAAATAACCCTGCCTTGCTGCCATGCTGTTGTTGACAGTATCAATTTTCTTGGATTTGGGGGTGGAGGGAGAAAAAAGGCTGCTTGGCTTTTCTGTTATAAAGAAATTGCTGCATTGTCTGACATGTACCTTTACATGGGGACTCATGCTGTGATTGATAACATCCTTTCCCAGCTCCAAATTATTTGGTTTTGATGCATGTTATTGTACAGGCCTTAATTCACTGATTCCATTGAAAGTTTTTTTTCTAAAATAAAGTTTGTTTAGAATTTAAACTCCTAGTATCTTCCCTTTTGATGTGGATAGTCATGTGTGCTTTTTTTTTTTTTTTTTTTTGCATTAGAGAGCTCTCCTTGGTATTTCCCTCCCCCCCCGGCCCCCAAGGTGTTCTTTTTAATTTAATTTTTTTAATTAAGTTTGTGCAAAGGCAGGGCATGACTTGGCACTTATCTCCCAAGAAGTGCCTTAGCTTTTTCCTCCTGTGTTCTGAGTAGCATGTCTTTTGTAGTTACTTCTGCAGTAATAGCCTTCTGGCTTGCCTTGCAGAGAGTTAAGTCATTTCTAGTAAGGTGAGAACACTTTTTTTCTTGGTTGAGAAGATTTTAAATCTGCTTGTTGAAACACTAATATAAAACATAATTTGCTCTTCTGAATCGAGTTAGTGGTAAAGCCCCACAGGGGAGGATCTTCAGGAAAAAAGATGTAATGAATGGTGCTGTTAGGCAAATATTGCAGACCTGGAAGTGCTTTGAGCCTATACGCTACCTCTTTGTTTCTGAAAAAGTAAAATAGCATGTTACAATCTGTCATGACAGTGGGGTTTGTCCAAAATGTCTTATCAAGTGTGGAAGACATTAAGACAAACTCTTGTTATATAATGCAAAATCGAAACAGCATAGAGTAAAGCATGATGGGAATCTTGTAAACTATTTATTTGAATTTCTCCTACAGCATGTAATGCAGGATAAGAGGTAATTGTACTGCTTTCAGTTGGATTATTGGTTTCCTTCTTTCCACAGATACCTGAAATATCTGACTAAGAAATATCTGAAGAAAAACAACTTGCGTGACTGGCTGCGTGTCGTTGCCAATAGCAAGGAAAGTTATGAATTACGATACTTCCAGATCAACCAGGATGAAGAGGAGGAAGAGGAAGAAGATTAAATTGAATCTGGAAATATTTTGTATATTAAATTTCCTTGAATAAAATGAAAAAAAAAAATGTTAACATTTTCTGTGTTTTTCAAAACTCTAGTGTTAGGCAGCTCTTCCAACTGTCCTGATTGATATGGTGGTCATTCTAATGCCACAGTAAGTACTTAATTAGTAAAGGTTAACAGCTTTTGTTGTACAGATAAACTTTATCTAACCAGACTGCAGTAATGTAGACATTATTTTTTCCTCCTGCTTGATCTTGATTCATAAGAGAATTTCTCTTGCAGAATCTGGGGTCCCTCATAAAATAGTCTTCTCGTTTTGGAGAACTGAGATTTCCTGTTCGTTTTTGTAATACCTCAAGTACAATATTACTTAATGGTCTTTTTGTACCAGATTTTTATTTCACCTAAAATATTCCAGTATAGTAGAATGAAAATTGGTAAGTGTCTGGAAAAGAGATTTGTCATGCTTTGACTTTGTCACGCTTAGCCCTAAAACTTTGCTGTGCATCTGGCTTTGCTTTGTTTTATGGAGTCCTGTAGCATCATATGTTATGAAAGAGTTGAGATTTTGGAAGCTGAGGAGGGGACGTAGTCAGAACACCACTTCATCTCAGTGTCTCAACTACAGATGAGAAGTTTAGCCAGTTAATTTCCCACCCTTTTTTTTTTTTTTGCTGTCAGACCTATCTGGTTTAATTTTTAATTAAGAATCACTGTATGTGGCTTCAAAGTTATCTCCAACCAGATGTCTAGTCTGAATAGAACGGGTTTTTTTTTGTTTTTAAAGGTTTCCCCTTCCTTGGCTAATGTCCCACAAGGGGTGGCAGCAGAGTCTGGTTGATAGAAAAGATCAATCACACAACACTTTTTTATTTGGGTAATGTTGACTTCCAAGAACTTTTTGCAATAGTGCTTTTGAAACTGCAATGTAAAATTTGAATTCGCAACTTGTCAAAGCATTGTGCACTCAGATGCTTCTCTCAGCCTGAGAAAACTTAAAGGTGTAGGAATATTGGTATGAATGCATGCAGTGGGGTCAGTTTTCTTCACATCCCTAAGAAGTTCTCAGCTCTGCTGCAATGTTTGAGTATTTGTTATTTATACAGTTATATTTTTGCTTACTTATTACAGATAAAGACAGTCTTGTAGCATGACAATCTGTTCTTAGTCGCATACCGTACCTTTATCATTTTACAAGTAATTAAACAAGGTGTTATTTCATAGGGCTGATGGAGTCATTTTTCAATGAGCTTTAGAAACTGTTATTAAACTTGTAGGTAGCGTTATTTCTTGTTCTCTTCCCTCTCCCTAGTAATTTGCCATTGCTTTTTTATGGTGACAGAAGGTTGGATGGATGTGTCTTCAGAGATTGTTGTGATATTTCTAAATGGAAATGCTTATCAACATGAGCCCTGCTGACCAAAGGCTCCGATTGGCAAGCAGTTTGCAACAATGGCGCAGTGAACAGTGTTCAAATCAAGGCTATTGAACTTTGGCTGGGAAAAGTCATAGTAACTTGGCTTCACATTATCATGATAGGCTGCTGGGCTTCAGGCCTGTCTGCACTGCACTGCACTTGCAGTAAAATCAAGGAATCAAGTGCACTTGAATTTCTAAAATCTAAATCAGCCACACTGAAGCCTGATTGGATCTGTGCTTGGAAGTCTGAGTATGTTAACTCTTGGTTTTAGTTCCTCAGGTCTTTTTTTCCCTCCCCAACTGCCAACATGTTGGTACACTGAGTCACTAAAACATTTCTTGAACATGAAAGCATTTATTAGTGCTTCATGTTGCAGGGGTTTAGGTTGTAGCTGTGTTGGTCTAAGGATATAGGCAGACAAGGTTCCTTGGGTTAGTTAAAATCTGTTTTCTTACTGGTGTGAGAAATAGGCGTACGCTGAAGTGTTAATTTAAATGATGCTAACCTTCTATAGAAGACCCTTTTAAATCAAAGCATTGCAGCAGCATTTGTTGCTGTAATCTAAGATGTGGCTTACCTAGGGTATTTGTGACAGGCTTTTCCCTTCTGGAATTCCAGGTGGTGAAATGCTCTCTTAGGTTGGGTGGGGAATCTTGCTGAGTTCTTACCTGTGAACCACCTGTATTTCCACCACTAAAATGGGACAACTTATTGATGTCAGGCTCTGCCACTTCTGATGGACTAAGCTATACGTAGGCACTGGAGCCAGACTCGGGAGTCATCTTTTTGGACAGGTGCAAAAAGAACCAGTAAATAATGTACTGAGCTGAGTGACATGCACATCATCTAGTCGAAGGTTTTAATGTGTGACCTGGTGCTTCTGGTGTGTGAAAGAAGGGTGTTCAGTGTGCCTTGGCTTCCCTTCCTTGAAGCAGCTGTTTGCATCACAAGCTGAAGGGCTGCTGGTAAAGTGCTTCCAGTTCCTTTTCCTGCGTGTTGGCCTAAGGACATAGGTAGACAAGGCTCTTTGGGCAAATGTGATATCTTTTATTAGACCAACTAAACAGTTGGAAAAAATTGTTCTTTGCAAATTTTTGGGTACAAACACCCTTTGTCAGGCTGAGGAAGCTTCTGCAGTTGGTGCATGCTCTTCCTGGATGGAAGGAAAAGTAAAGAAGCTTGCTTAAAAAAAATTTCCCTCAACTATTTAAATTGGTTTAAAAAAAGATATCAGATTCACCCAAAGACCCTGGTCTGCCTATGTCCTTAGATCAACACGGCTTCAACCTACACCCTTGATAAAAGACAACACATTTACCCGAAGAACCTTGTGGGTCCAGTTCCTTTTTAACACCGGGCCAGCTGTGGGCTGCTCTGCTTCACTCCTGTGCGGAACGAGCGCGCGGGATGAGGCGCGGGGGCCGGCCGGGGAGCGCTTCCCCCGGGAGGGGCGCGGGCGCGGGGGGGGCGCGCGTTCAGGTAGGTGCTGCAGGCGCCCCGCTGTGCCGGCTCGTCTAGCGGCTCTTCAGCTCGCAAGTCACTTCCTCAGAAGCGCAGTGCGGTGACCTCGCCTTGCGGG